CCGGTCTGTACGTGGGATCCGAACCCTCGGACGGGAGCGCCGCCGCGCTTCCCAAGCGGCGCACTATCCAGTGCGCCACCGGGCCGGCCCCATTTTCTCCTCTTTATAAAGAAGGAAACAGAGGCCCAGGGAGGTTAAGAAACTTGCCCAAAGTCATACAGCTAGTAAGTGGTGGGCCCAGAACATAGATCAAGGCCTTCAGGCTCCAGAGATGCTCAACCAATTCATATTCAGAGTCCTCATTGTTCGCAAACTACAGCAGAGGATACCAAAAACGCAAGTGATTTCCACCATCCACACTCTTGGAATTAGAGGGGGATCTAAGACCAGTGCAGGTAAGGCCTCACCTCTTCCTCCATAAGGGCCATACAATAACAGTAACAGTAACACCACCACCAACCGCTACCACTTGTTGAGCACTTATATTGTGTCGAACATGTTACATAAATTAACTTACGCGGTTCTCATGACCACCTTGTAAGGCAGGCATCATGTCCATTTAGACATGGAAAACTGAGACACAGGGAGTGGTTGTCCAAGGTTACATGCAAGGACAAAGATTGAACCTAAGTCAAGATGCATGACAGTGTTATTTTAACCATTCTGCTACACCGCCAAATTCCTGCTCAGAGAGTACACAGTAACAAGGATCAGGAGAAAGTATGAGGGTACTTCGAAAAGTTTGTGGAGAAATAGAATTAAAACATAATATGAATCCTATCATGAACCTTTTGAAGTACCCTTGTATTAGCTTGGGGGTATCCAAAAAGTCTTCTCATAGCTGGTGGCATTTGCAATGGGCCTTGAAGGTTGAACAGGATAACGATGGAGCACGAGACTGGCTGGCTTGTGTGTGGGGGTCTGCAGGAGAGCAGGGATCATAACTGGGAGGCCTTGGGTGGCCCTGCTGGCTGCAGCACAGGGTCCTGTGAGTCGACTGATAGAAATAAAGTTCAAATGGCAGAAAGGCATTGGACTGTGGGGGGCCTCGGGTATCCCACGAAGAGCCTGGACTCTATCCTGAAGGCGGTGGGAGGGCTGCTGCAGGATTTGAGTCCAAGGACGATGTGACCATGACTGGTATTTCAGAATGCTTCATCAAGGTGTGCAGAAAGGATGGCCAAGAGGCAGGGAGAAAGCTGACAGATAGGATAATCCGTTGGAGAAACTAAGGGGTCTCAGGTAAAGCAATGACAGTGGTCATGAAATAATAAGGGATCAGCTTGAAAGAGGTGGTGAAGGATCTGACTTGGCAAGGGACTGGCCATGGTGGGTGAGGAGGAATCTTGAACTCCTTTCCTAAACTTATCCTCCAAACACATAGTTCTTCCTTAATGAGCTGAGATGATGTTTCTATTAAGTATCTGCCCTCTGGCCTTGCCAAGAAATGGTGAAAAATGGATTGGACTCTGAAGCTGCCTGGGGGCTCTCCAGACATGATCCCGCATGCTTGACAGGGGAGACACAAACATTCTGCTCATAAAGCTTGGTTCCTGCCTGGTAGGTGGGTAAAATTTCAATGAGCTAAAATGCCAAGCGAGAGGGGGTCTGACTAATTGGATTTTCTCATAACTGTGTGTGAACCAGCAATCCTTAATTTCAGCCCCCGTGGGAAACTTTTCTAGAATGTATTCAGCTTGTTAAAAATAATAGACTGAATAGACCAAATCTTTGATTCTAGAATCATAGAACTGTTCTGTTCAATATGGTAGCCACTAAGTACATATGGCTATTTAATCTTTAATTAAGTAGAACTAAATAAAATTAGAAAATACAGTTCTTTAGTCATACTAGCCACATGTTGCTAAGAGGTACCGAAGAAGACAATGCAGATATAAAATGTTTCCAACACTGCAGAAAGTTCTACTGGACGGAGCTGTCCTAGCATGCCAGAAAAAGAAAGAGGCTTCCAGACGGTCTGGCCCAGACTACCCATTTCACAGAGTCTAAGACCCAGGGAGATGGAAAGATGTGCTCACAGACAGACAACCAACAGGTAAAAACTGACGCCAAGTGTTTCGATGCCAAGCCTAGCAGGTCTCTCTAAGCTCTTTATGCTTTCTGCAGGCACTCAAGGTTTATTATTATTTCAGGCTAATAAATATTTCGCCTTCCCTCTTTTTTCATTTCCCTAAGAATGGAGACATTTTCTCTGAGATGCTCAAACTCATTCCTGAGAATATAGCTCCCTTTAAAAAAATAACTAGCATCCATCAAACTCAGAATCTCCTCATTCTTGAGCATTTGGCTCAGGAAAAGCACAGACCTTAGGCTGGGGCCAAGAGCTACACAGGAGCAATTGCAAAGGAGTTGCAAGCCATGGGCCCAGAGTCCCATACCCTGGGTCCTTTGGGGACTTCCACAGGCTCCTATTACCCTAGCATATATTGTCCAATCCAACCCAATCCCTATTTCCATACCTTTGTGTCGCTCCAAATTGCCAAGAGCTGTCTGACCTCCCCCCAATGCCTATTAAAGTTTTTTATATGAAACCAAGCCCCACAGCCCAGGACCTGGGTGCCGCCCCCTGCTGGAAACAGATGGCCTCCATCTTTTGTGTCTGGATGGTATTTCCAAGACGGAGGTGTTGTGAGCTCTCCTCCTGCCTAGCCCATCTCTCTTATTTGACAATGAAGAAGCCAGGAGTGTAGACTTTGGGAAATATTTATGCCTAAACTAGATCCAGTGTTCCACAGATGGAGATTCTCAGAGGAACTCTCTCCTTATATCAAAGCATTTGGATTTAATTAAACTCTGGTTTATAGGGAAATGTAGGCAGGGCTTCAGTAAAGTAATAAAACCTCTGTCATATTTGATGTTTGAGAGAAATTTTTACAGGTAGCAGGGATCCTCCCTGTGTGGGATTAGGAAAGAAAGGACGTGCTTTTCAAAGACCGACTTTCCCCAAGGTCATTAAAGAGTCTGGACCTTGCCCATGCCGCTCTCTGCCCTAGAACAAGGCCTTTCTTTTGGGGGTGGGACTGATGTCCTTCAAGGACAGAACTGCCATTCAGGGGAGTCTGGCCAGAGGGCCACAACTTCCTGAGAGAAAGACTCAGGAGTCAGGTATAGTGTCTGGGAGACAGGGTGGTTGGGGAACCCTGAACTCCGAATTGCACTGAATGAATCTTTTTCTCCCCTCTGTATAAGGCAAAATTTTACAATATGATCAAAAAAGAATATGCCTCTTCT